ATAGGAGGGCTACTGATATTTTGAGTTCATCATGTATCTTGCTACATTACTGAAGGTGATTATCAGCTGTAGAAGTTTCCTAGTACAGCTTTTGGGATCATTTATGTATGCTATCATATCTGCAAAAAGCTAAGTTTGACTTCTTCCTTTCCAATTTGAATCCCCTTGATCTCCTTTTGTTGTCTTATTGCTATAGCCAGTATATCAAGAACTATGTTGAATAGATATGGAGGGAGTAGACAGCCTTGTGTTGTTCCTGATTTTAGTGTGATTGCCTTGAGTTTATCTCCATTTAATTTGATGTTGGCTGTCAGCTTGCTGTATATTGCTTTTATTGTGTTTAGATATGTTCCTTGTATCCCTGTTCTCCCCACAACATTTATCACGAAGGGGTGTTGGATTTTGTCTAACGCTTTTTCAGCATCTAATGAGATTATCACATGGCTTTTTCTTTCAGATTATTTATATGGTAAATTACATGGATAGATTTTCATGTTGAACCATCCTTGCATCTCTGGGATAAAGCCAACTTGATCATGGTGGATGATAGTTTTGATGTGTTCCTGGGTTAAGTTTGCCAGTATTTTTTGAGTATTTATGCATCCATGTTCATGAGTGAGATTGGTCTATAATTTTCTTTCTTGTTTGAGTCTTTGTATGGTTTTGGTATCAAGGTAACTGTAGACTTATAAAAAAAGTTTGGCAATGTTTCTTCTGTTTCTATTATATGGAACACTTTGAGGAGTATAAATATTAGCTCTTTTTGGAAGTTCTGGTAAAATTCTATGCTCAAACCATCAGGCCCTGGGCTTTTTTGATTGGGAGGCTTTTGATGACAGCTTCCATTTCCTTGCAGTTTGTAGGTCTACTTAAATTGTCCACCTGGTCTTGATTTAATTTTGGTATGTGGTCTTTTTTCTCTTACATTCTTCACTTTTGTAGAGTACAGATTTTTGTAGTATGACCTAATGATTCTCTGGATTTCCTCAGTGTCTGTTGTTATGTTCCCCTTCTCATTTCTTATTTTGTTAATTTAGATGTTCTCTCTTTGCCTTTTGATTAGTTTGGATAAGAGGTTTTCTATCTTGTTGGTTTTCTCAAAGAATCAGCTCTTTGTTTCATTGATTCTTTGTATTGTTTTCTTTGTTTCTATTTTGTTAATTTCATTCCTCGTTTTGATTATTTCCCATCTTCTACTCCTCCAGGTGCATCTGCTTCTTTTTGTTCTAGAGCTTTGAGGTGTGCTGTTAAGTCACTAGTGTGAGATTTCATCGCTTTCTTATATAGGCATTTCATTCTATGAACTTCCCTCTTAGCACTGCTTTCATGGTGTCCCACACATTTGGGTATATTATGCCTTCATTTTTGTTAAATTTTTGGAAATCTTTAATTTATTTCTTTATTTCTTCCTTGACCTAGGTAGGGGTGGTTCAATAGAGCACTGTTTAATTTTCATGAGTTTGTGGCTTTCTGAAATTAGTGTTGCTGCTTAATTCTAATTTTCAACCATAGTGATAGAGGGGGATACTGCAATTTTTGTGTCTGTTGAGGTTTGCTTTGTTACCACGATGTGGTCTCTAGGATATTGCTTGAGGAGGAACATCCCAAGACATCACCCTATCCACCAAGCACCAGAGATCCTAAGCAGCCTCCACACATCTGCTACCATCCTCTACAATATCTGTGACCACTGCAGCCTTGACAGTCCCTGGAGACATAAGCATCTGGGCTCATCTCTCTAGACTCTTGTTCTTTGAAGAACATCCAGTTGCCCTACACCTACCCACTAAGACCAGGAGACCATGAGCCATCTACACACACCTACTATCATCCTTTTCCACCTTTGGGACCACTGGAGCCTTGGTCCAGACTGCCCCTGGAGAGGTAAGTGTTTTGATGGTATTCTTCCTCAGGTCTTCCTTATAACTTCTCTCAGCCCTATCTGCATATCCTTACCACTCCAAGATTCATGGCCTCTTTGTTTTTCATTAAAAATAGTCTTTTCATGCAATATATTCTGATTAATGCTCCCCTTCCTCCAACTCCTCCCAACTCTTCCTCACTTACCCTTCAATCCATACCCTTTCTGTGTCTCATGAGAAATCACGCAGGCATCTAAAGAATTATAATAAACTGATATAAGATAAAAACAAAAACAAGTCAGAATAGGACAAAATAAACAAACAGAAGACAAAGAGCAAAAGAAGAAAGCACAAGAAACACATTTAGATGTAGAGACACACATGATCACACACACACAGGAATCCCATAAAAACACAACTCCTGAAGCTATAATGTGTACTCAAATGAGCTGTAATATAAAACACAAAATGCCATAACACAACATTATAAGACACAAAAAACCCTCCAAACATACCATTGAGCTAGTTTTGTGTTGACCATGTACTGTTGGGAATGGGTCCTATTCTTAACAGCGGTTTGTTTTCATAGTGAGACTCCTTTGGAGAAAATGAACTTTTTATTTGCCAGTGGACTGGGTCTTCCCATGGCCCTAACCAAGTTTTCCCAAATGAGAGTATTATAATTTTATATTTGTATGTATTAATTCAACTGTGTAAATTACTTGTATAATTTACATTTGAAATTTTATCTCCCTTGAAATGGAAAATGACAAGTAGTGAACATAGAGAAGAAGTCTGGGATGTGATTGACGATCCATCATGAGTTTGTGTTGATGAGCCTGCCAGGGTGCTGTAAAAACCATGCCCCTCACTGTGTAATTAGTTCTGTGTTTCTATATTCAAAACCCTTTGAATAACAACAGATACAGAAATCTCTCATTTTTTATCTTGAATTCTGCTGTTGGAAAAATGCATCTCTATTTGTTTTAATAGACACCAAGTGAAGCCTACCTCAAAAGAGACAGGAGAATTTTGCAAGTTGGGAGTGCAGAATAAGTCACACAGAGAAGGTTTTGCTTGTGCCGCCTCCAGCTCTTCCCTCATGGTGGTTCTCACAACCTTTAGAAATAACATCTAGAACCATTTAGTTCTAACAACACACTAAACATTTTGATGTATACTGTATACTCACTATACACAAGATCAGTTTCTACTGGTTGTGCCTAGTGAGAAATAGAGACATCAGGGGACCTAGGGCCAGCATAATAAAATTGGTAACAAGTGAGGGTCAAGTAGTTAAAGGAAATTCATGTTATTTCTGGAGAGGATCATTTAAATAGCAGGTAACTATAGAACATTGAAATCAAGTAAAGAGTTGTTTAGAATCTTGTCAAAAGCTCCAGTCATGCCATAATGACTCTGAACAATACATCAACTTAGTGTGGTTCTATGATATGTGTATTCATGTGTGTGTGCATGTCTGCCTATTTTCTTTGCTTTATTTCTTTTTGTCTCATTCTTCTTTAATGAATGTCCCATGTTTAGACATTACCTCCACTGGTGGAAAAGGAGACTCAGGAAAATGAATTCCTTTCAAGGTCTTTATGTACATTTCAGAGTCCTAATATTTGAAAGAATACATAGTGTAATCCTGAGATGTTGGTTCTCTGGCTGGTTGTCTGTTTCAGAGGCTGAGGAACTCTTAGGAGGTAAAGTTTATCTAATAGGGTAGGTGTTTGAAGAGGTAGCTGACCTCTAACTATGGCTAAGCTTCTTGGTCCACCATGATGTGACAAGCCTTTATCACAAGCTCTTGTCTCAGTATTGCCTTGCCCGTTCAGTATGATTAACTGACTGTTGTCAATCTGTGAGTCTATCTCCTTTTTGGGGGGTGGGTTGATTTTTCAAGACAGGGGTTTCTTTTTTTGTTTGTTTGTTTGGTTTTTTTGTTTCGTTTTGTTTTGTTTTGTTTTGCCTACTACTCTACGCAGATCTACGGTGGACGGTGAGAGACTGTGTGTGGGTCATTCTGCAGGCTGCCGGGCGACTACATGCGGTGCTGGGCCGGGAATCGAACAGGGGTCCTCAGGCGGAACGGTCGGGCGCTCTGCCCCCTGAGCCGTCTCTTTGGCTAAGACAGGGTTTCTTTGGAACCTGTCCTGGTACTAGCTCTTGTAGACCAGACTGGCCTTGAACTCATAGAGATCCCCTTGCCTCTGCCTTCTGATTGCTGGGATTAAAGGCATGTGCCACCACCCCCCAGACCAAACCCTTCTTATTTCGTTTCGTTGTTTTTGACTTGAATCTTGGTCACATCAAAGCAAAAGTAGTCAACAAAATAAACTGCTTTATGTGTAGTTGTTGTTCTGAAAAATCTGACCATGTTATAGATCATGTGCTATGGTTTGGTCATAGATTTTGGAAAAATTTTGAGAGGCAAGATAGAAAGGATGGTTCTAGTGAATGTTCTGTATGCTGAAATGCTGATACAAATCTGAACAGCAAAGACATTCTCCATGAGACGTCACATGGGAAAGGGCACTTTAGTGAGAATTTTGGAGGAGGAAATTCATCTTTCCCTTTTGAGGAAAAACAAAAACAACAATAGCATCATCATCATCAACAACAACAACAACAAATTTTGACAGTATTGACCGTATTCTGAAATTTGAATGAGGTTAAAGTCAAAGTAGTGGACTTATTTATTTATCAGATGAAATTTCAAGCATCCAGGCTGTGACACGGTGAAGACCTGGAGGTGATGAGCTAGCTTGCAGTTTATGTACTCTGAGACCCAAGCTCAGGGCTGGATCATCTGTCCTCTAGGGTAGATGTTACCTCTTCAGTTAATGTAATCAAGGTAATCCCACAGAGGAATGGCCAGAGGCTGAATAGAACTAAGTCATCCCTCACAGATATGCCTGGAAGTTTTCTGCTAGGTGATCTTGTTGAACTGAGAGTCGGAATTAACCATGAGAGCTCTACTTTTTGTCAACTTGGCATCAGAATACATCATCTCTATGCCATCACTTTCTACCTCTTATCTCTATGTCTTGATAGAAAATGAGTCTATGGAGAAATACAAATAATTTAAAACTCCAAAATCGAAGGCTTAATTGAGACTCAAGGGAGTTTCTTTTTTCTGTGTCCTGTATAATACTTCTTTATTTTGAAAATCATTAAATATATCAAGAATGATTCTCCTTCATAAGTCCAACTTTTATATAACAAACTAGATGATTTACTTGTTGTATTCAAGAGAAGCAGAATAACTGTTCCTATTTCAAAAGACAAGAGTGGAATATAAGAAGAAATGACTGGCCGAATGCAGGACTGAAATCCAGAAAGGAAAGCATTTAATACTGCAGGTCCATATCCAATATCTGGCATTCATGTGGAATCTTCTGAGCACTAAAAATATGAAGTAGTTATTAAATATTTTTGTTCATGCCCATAGATTAGTGCTCCTGTCTGCCTTAATAAAGAAGATTTGCATTTAGTGAGTAACAGTCATTGAAGATTCACAACCATCAAAGTCATGAGAGTAAGTGACTGACTATTCAGTGATCATCTCTAAGGAAAATGTCTCTATCATCCCTTTCCAGGCGACAGAAACAGCATAAAAAGGGGAGACAAGGTACAGAAGACGTGGTAGAAAATGTGTGGTTCCATCTTATAGGCATGCATTGGACATTGGACTCTTGACTGTCATTAACTCTGATTGCCTGCACAAGACTTGCCAATGTTCTGCCAGTCAATACTCTCAAAGATTACTATCTTTGAGAGCAGATGGCACATTGAGAGAGGAGCTCATTAGCCCCATTATGTTTCACAACCTGTATTATTTAGTCATTGTTTGAGAACAGGGTCTCACATAGCCATGCTCCCTCCTGAGGATATTACGGACAGCTAATGGGTGCTGAGTGAGAGATAGACGTTAGTGGCGTACCCACCACATGTAAGTTGCACATCTTCCTCAAAATGTTTCTGTAAGTGGCCTTAACTAAACAAACTAGATCACAGAAAAGAATATACAAAAAGAAAGACTAAGGTACTAAAAGATAGAAATAGGACTAGTTAGGAAGTATATGAGAATCATATATGGCAATAATGACAGATTATAAATGAATCAATGCACTATATGCATTTATAAAATTTAAGACTGAATGAATTGTGTATAACATATATATCTCAATAGGAAGCTTAAAAGTAAAAAAAAACAATCAATGATGTTTTTTTTTTTTTACAAAGTTCTCTTTGAATGAAAACAACTGTATTTAATGATTTAATGATGGGACATTGTCTCTTGGGCAGTAATGCATACACATGTCAAACTTGTGTTTCATTTATGTCATAACAAACTTGCATTATGCTCACCTCCATGGTTAGGGTGTCTCCAGAAATCTTTACTCCATTCTTGCAATCAACTTTTCTCAGCTCCTGTAAGCACTTCTGGGGTTTGTTTGTCACAATCAGCCACCTAGCTGACTCAGACAGCCACCTACTCAAGAAGATATTGCTCGTAAACTATCAAGGAGTCATTTCCTATACTAAATTTATTCTTGAATAGACTTTTAAAGATCTAATACCTATCAGTCACTCAATTATAGCAAAAATGTAAAATCTTATATCACGTGGTATATTACCTAGGAAAACAGGAAATGATCAGCCATTCAGTGCACCTGTATTCCTAGAATGTAGACCTGGAGCCACATTGGTCTGTCCCCCTCACATGGATACAGATTTTACTGGAGGTCATAGAACTTGAATGTGATAGATGTTTCTCCAGATAATTTCCAAATGTCTTGTTACTTTGTAGGGAATATTTGTTTATCATATGTCCCTTAAGAACCCCTGAATACATTTTCCCTGATTAAATCACTCAGAGGAGCGATGATGCCAATGAAACTTAGTCTTCCATACCCAACAGTACTAACACATATACGAGCTCACAGAGATTGTGACAAATGCTTTTCTTATGTCCTGATTTAATCTCAGGATTGCAAAACATAGAGGAGGAAAAATATTGGCACACACACTACCAGCTGGAGGTGGTGCCAGTTTCGAAATACAAATGCCAGGCCTGACATTAGTATGAGTCCAAAGTTTGAGAGCACATTGACAGTGTTGTCACCAAGCCTTTAAATTTAGGGCTTGTCCATTCTATTGCTGAAATAAAGAAAAATGAATCTTGATTTCTACCAAGGTTGGGAAGGACATTCCCATCAAACAAAATCTTGAACAATGTCTGTAAAATCTCTGACTTACTGAGAAAACACTATTTGTGTATGTGGGTATGACACAAACCCCTTTTAGGAAGCGAAGTAAGCGGTAGATGAAGAATGTGGGAGCCAAAGCTGCACAGGTCCCACTGATGGCCATCAGCAATAGAGCACATATGAAGGTTAACCTCCTCCCAAACCCGAGGAAAAGACAAAGATTCCATCAGGGAACAATACAGTTGCTAAAGACAACAAACAGGAATTATTTGTACAATTCCTATGATTAACTTTTCTCTTTTTTCTAAATCATGTCTGCCATATTCTCTTAATCTTTGCTGACCCTCTTAATTATCCAATAAGAGTTAGTTCTGTGTCAACACAATACAAAAACTTTTACACATTAACTAAAATGTCTATTTGTGTTTATTGATCTTTAAGGTCAAAGGTGCACTTAGAGGAACAAATCTGCAATGACTTTTATAGAGCAAATGGGTTGTAGCTGATGAGAAAACTCACATGCAGAGACAGCTACAAAGCACAGACACTTACCTGTCTGATAAGTGTCCACCTAGGAAAGGTCTTATCAAGTTTCCAATCATGAATATAAATTTAGTCATTGAACCCAGTACCTGAGATCCACACACCAGGTCCCACTGGAAGAGAAGGAAATCAGCATGTCAGCCTGTCCTGTAATTTGTTCAAAATTCTTCAGTATGAGCTTTCAATCCACTGAACCCATCTTCCTCTCCAGCTTCCCATTTTGTTAACACATGTCTTCTACTATCTAGTCTCAGCTTCAGTACACTTCTCCTCAGGAATCTTACTGTATTCATTTAGCTTAGAGTGAGTAGAGGCTTACAACCTATGCTCAGAAGTTCTCAAATGAGTCCATAGAGTGCAATGATTCACGATACTTAAATTTTTTTTACTGGATCCTCTATATCAGTGTACAGCCTTTCCATGACTCATCTGATAAACACCAAGATAGAGCCTTATAACTCTTTTTACTTTACTTATTTACTTGCAAACTTTTGGCAATACAAAGGATGAAACTCAGTGCCCATGTGTGGGTGGAATGTACTAGCAATTACCCACATTCTGATCTACAAAGGAATGTGAATTACTGGGAGTTTCTCCTCAGTGCTCAATACTGAATCTTGGGCCTCACAAATGCTCCAGATGTATTTCATCATGAACTACATATTTAGCTAACACTTTGGCTTTGTAAGACCTTCTAGATAGTTTAAATTTGAAAACAAAGCTGGGAGGAGGAAATGGAGTGGGAACTTGGATTAGTATGTATAATGAGAAAAGATAGTTTGTTTTCTTTTTTAAAAAATAAAATAAATAAATAAAAGCTGAATAATGTTGACTTGTTACAACAAATAGGCCCTTTAATTAGACACACAAGAATTTTATCTTTTACGTATATTTTCTTATATTATTTAATTCATTCTTAGAAATTTCATACATGTATACAAAACACAATGATAATATCCAACTTTTATATCCCCTAGAACTCCCTCCAAGATGACTGAAAACATCCCTTTACAAACCCCATGTTCTTTTTCTTTTGTCCATATTATACTCTTTGGTTAAGTTTGCCTATATGTACACTAAAGCACAGGTAACCTAGTATTGGCCATACCCCTAAAGTAAGATAGTAATCCCTCCCTTAGCAACCATCAATTACTAACAGATCTTCAGCTAGGACTGGTGCCTCCTGAACTTTGCTCCAATCTATGCTGGAATTTCGATTGGCTTGAACGTGTTCTGGTCTTGTGCAAGCAATCACTGTTTCTGTGAGTTCATGTATCAGGGTGTTTCTTCCTCTTTCAGATTCTTTTTATTGCTCTTAAAATATTTAAACTAAAATATAATCATATCACTTCCATCCTTCCTTTTCCTCAGTCTAATCCTTCCCTCCAGCACCTTCCTGAAGCATGTCCGTAAAGCCTTGTAGAAATTTACTCTTAAGTAGGCTGATTTCAAAATAAAATTTAAAAGAAGGAAATTGAAAGAAGGTGCAATACTTGGATTGACAATAATGCTCCCTGAAGAACTGGGATGTTAGCAATAATCCCAGTGCCAGGTATATGTAATAATGTTACATGAGTTACTGCTCAGGAAAGCCCACAGGTCCCCCAAACAACATAAGCTGTTACTATTGCTCATGGTTACCTACTGTAACTAAATGTTAAGACCCTGTTTCTGAAGTCACCACACACATTTGTTTGAATGACACAGAAAACATTGTCAAACCAAACTGCAAACTACATGTTTGCTACATTTCATAGATGCAGACATTGCTATGTAGACTGCAGGTAGAGAAAAGACATCTATGGACTTACCTAGCACTTTACCCTACACACTACAAGACAGCATAGTCATTGGTGCAATAGTACCATAACTGTATAGGAAGACAATCATTTCTAATTGGATTTGAAGCCTTCTATAGAGCAAGAAAGTCATGCCTGATACTGTAAACTCACTTAGAATCTTATGGCTTGGAAGGAGATAGGCCCTGAAGAAGAAGCTACTGGCTGCAGTGCTGGCTACCCCCTCCCGCCTGCCATCCCAGCTCCCATCC